CTTCTTATACTCCTGTCATCTGAAGAAGTATGTTTTGCCCACGAAAGCTCATGATACCATCTACATGTTTTGTTAGTCTTTAAGGTGCTACTAGACTATTTGTTGTTTTTAAAGCTTTTCCTGTTATAGACTAAGGGTATGTCTAAACTACATGCCTCTGTCGGCAGAGGCATGTAGATTTGTTTTTTTGGCAAAGGCAAATGAAGCCGCGATTTAAATGATCGCGGCTTCATTTACATTTACATGGCTGCCGCGCTGAGCCGACAAACAGCTGATCAGCTGTTTGTCGGCTCACGCGCTAGTCTGGACGTTCCCCCTGTCGACATCCACGAGGAATAACGGGGCTGCCGACAAAGGGCTTTGATGTCAACACGGGGAACGTCCAGACTAGCGTGCGAGCCGACAAACGGCTGATCAGCTGTTTGTCGGCTCAGCGCGGCAGCCATGTAAACGTAAATGAAGCCGCGATCATTTAAATCGCGGCTTCATTTGCCTTTGCCTATGTGTCTAATCTACATGCCTCTGCCGACAGAGGCATGTAGTCTAGACACAGCCTAACTCAGCTACCCCTCTGAAGTAAATGACATAAACTTTCTGCAAAAAGTTCCACATAGAAATTATTATATTCCATTCTGAAGTACAGACATTTTGCATAACACTTCCCTCAAGTCTTCCATCTTAGCATGTTTTGCTAGCAAACAAAAGAACATTTTGAATAGGACTGGAGTTTCTTAGGAAAAAAATATTATTCACAGAACCTATGTAAACAGAAGAATCCTGACCAACACAGCCCATGAGCACTCTATGGCATAAGTAGCAAGTATATGGGATTTTGTTGTTTTTAAGAGTACTAATTACAGTACTAATACTGTTCTCACTCATTATACTTGAAGCTAGGTCTACACTGGACACATCTGAGAATCCTAATCTAATTTTGGAGAATCCCTGCCTACATGTATAACAAACTCAGGCTATGCTCACTGCTTTATTTGACAGCGGCTATGTCTTCACTGCAGAGTTTTTTCAGGAAAATGGACATTTTTCCAAAAAAACTTCACTTACGTTCACACTGCAATCGCGCTTTTTCGGGAAAAAAAATTGAAAGAACAGAAGGTTTTTTCCGACATTGGTAAACCACTTTCTACGAGGAAGAAGTGTTTTTCTGAAAGAGCTCTTTCGCAAAAAGGTGTGTGCGCATGGGGAAGAGAGAGGTCTTTTGAAAGAAAAAGAAAAAGCACAGGTGCCCTGGTGGCCACTCCATCCATAGTAATCACAGCTGAAATTTGAGTTAGCGTCTATTCAGTGCGGACGCTATCTTTCAAAAAATCAGATCGCTTTTTCGATGCACTTTGGCAGTTTGGATGCTCTCTTTCGGAAAAAGTTTTTTTCAGAAGATCTCTTCCAGAAAAGCTTCTTCCGCAGAAGCCTACAGTCTATACATAGCCTCAGAGACAAATCAGTCCCTTCTTATTTGCATGGCTACGGGAGAACTTTTCAATCAGTATGAAACTGATAATTTTTCTTTGCAGTGTTTATTTGCCTTAGTGTATTTTATGAATATAGAAATACTTTAGAGGAGGCAAGAAACATGCCAGACATTTTAGCTAATATGATAGCTGGTTTCAAAATGCTATGGCAAATAATAAAATCAGAGTCTCAAATCTGCTGATCCGTTCAGATACAGCATCTCACTATGCCCCCAAGAAAGGGGCTGTGAAACTGTGAAAGTTTGCTGGACTTCATGATTTTTTATTTATTGTTTATATTTCTCTGGGGTATTTTTCCTTCCTATTTTCCCAATATATGTTTCTGTTCATTATTATTTGCTATATTTTATGTTAAGGTTTTCTAATATGTCACTGTAAGAAGAAACCCCCTTTAAAAATACAACCAGAATAAAAAAAGATCAAGGAGCTTACTTCTTTAAAGTCAATAGTCAAGTCAGCAAAGATTTGGGATGATTTGCTCTTGCTTCCCATTTCATGTTTTACAGGACATAAAAAGAAACAGGGATGTATTGATTTGCTCATTCAAAGTAACTTATGAGCTTGTATGAATATTTCATGTTTTAAAAATCTCTATAGTTCAAGTACTAACATGTTCAAGTGTGCATGGAGTATGATGAAAAACTGTAGCTACCAAATGGAGGCACGAAAAATGTTAAGCAGTGGCATTATTTTTCTATACAAATTTCCCTACTTGCAATCTTTAATAATAGTGCTGGAGATTAGTTGCAAAGTTCAAAACTGAACCCAAACTTCCCCAAATCCCTAAGAGTATGGATCAGCATTCCCAGTCTGGGTGTATCTCTGTGAACAGGATCCTGCAGCTTGAAGGAGTAAATAAAATATTCTTGATAGGACGCTCTGGTAAAACAGTCTATATCTACCATTGACAGGTACCAGATCTGTTGTGAGGACTTACCGTTTGTGTAGTGCAACTCCAAAATCATCGTTCTTGGCTAAAAACAAACCACTGACATTGCCTCCCCAAATGGAAGCCTGTTGCCAAGTGTTTGGACACCACACCCAAAAAAGAAGTGTGAATTGGTGCACATCCTCCTAGGCAGGAAAAACCTGCAGTGCATGTAACTGCCTGCTGAGGTGTACTACCTGCACATGTGGTTACATGTTTGTTCAGTTTTGCTCACCAGTCTCAGTCTCCACCTCTGTATTCCACCCTGCTTACCTTTCCTAAAAGTCCAACTGATTCCACTCCCCAAACATCTGGGAGCAGACTGTATGAAAGGAAAAGATGGTCTGTAGCAATGAGAACCGGCACCATAATTAGAAGGACTGTACTTAAGAATTTCCCTTGATTAGGGCTCAATCCTGAACAGTCTGATCTAGCAAGAACACTTGTGCGAGTAAATCCCATTGACATACATGAGACAATTCACATGCTTCAAGTTAACCACGTGATTATGCGGTTTGCTGGATCAAGCTCAAAAGTGCTCGGCACCTTGAAGAACTAATTCCCCATTTCCTGCCAAGATTGGAAACATCTGACAGACTCTTCGGAAATTGCATTCCCAGCTTTCCAATGCTGTATCACAACCGTTTCTCGCTCCAGTAGGTCATGAGTTGTAAGCACTGTAAACAGCTCCCATGATCAGAAAGTCCCTTGTAGGTCCAAGACTTATTGTACCAAATCACCTGAGCTTATATCAGCATGACCAGCTAAACCACATGCACCTACAGCATTCCCCACACCTACCACAATGGACCACATCTACTTGATAGTCATGTTAAAATGAGTAAACAGAAATAGCCCTGTTGGGTTAGACTGGTGATGCATCTAGTCCCGTATCTTCTCTCTGGCAGAAGCTCATCCCAGATATTTCAAAGGTAGCTCCTAAAAATATTATAGTAGATAACCAAGATTGTTTCTAACTTCCTCATTAGGTATTTTGCTTACACCGGGAAGCATCAGAATTACAAGGAGATTGGGGAGGGGAGGAGGGTTTGTACCCCCCCCCAACTCTTACTCTTATACAGGCAGTCCCCGGGTTACGTACAAGATAGGGACTGTAGGTTTGTTCTTAAGTTGAATCTGTATGTAAGTCGGAACTGGCGTCCAGATTCAGCCACTGCTGAAACTGACCGCCAGTTGCTTACACCGGGAAGCATCAGAATTACAAGGAGATTGGGGAGGGGAGGAGGGTTTGTACCCCCCCCCAACTCTTACTCTTATACAGGCAGTCCCCGGGTTACGTACAAGATAGGGACTGTAGGTTTGTTCTTAAGTTGAATCTGTATGTAAGTCGGAACTGGCGTCCAGATTCAGCCACTGCTGAAACTGACCGCCAG